TTACTTAGAAATAATTACGTACGTAGGATACTTGGTGGACAATATGGAGACGAATGGGCACACCGAGCCTTTGCTAGAGGCAAAATTGGAGCTCAGAGAACCGGATCTCTATTACGTGCCCTCGTTGGAACCGGATGATCCGGATGGGCTCGATCAGCTGGTATCGGCCCTGTTGAACGACATCATCGGTATGGCCGCACTGGTGCCAAGGTTGAAAAATAATTCTGTAGGATACGCCGAGGAATTGGAGGAGGATCTAGATATAAGAGGGATGAAAAATGAGATTATGAGCAACGTTGTAACAGCGATCGAGGAAGCCACGGAATTCTGTAACAATTTCGAAGGTACGAGTTTCCATGAAAAGCGAAAGTTTCCATCGTCCGTTCACGATCCTTTATTCGTCGTATTATTTTATCAGGATACGCCTATCTCTGGTTGGACGATAGGGACACGGTGATGCAACAGTTCCTCGAGTACAGCCGACAATTGACGATGGAGGAAATGGAGATGGTGGCCGTGCAGGATCCCAAGGGGCCGACACGGTCACCGCCGAAAATGGAGCAATTCCGCGAGCAAATCGACCTTTACGAGGGCCTCTATCTCGAGATCGAGGAAATGGAAGCTTCCAAAGTGTTTTGCGGCTGGTTCAGGGTAGACCTCAGACCCTTCAGGCACTCGGTGCTGAACATGGTCTGCAAATGGTCGAGCATGTTCAAGAGACATCTGGTCGATCGCGTCACGACCAGCCTCTCGGATTTGGGATCGTTTATAAGGTGTTTCTTCTTTTTTAAATTATAATAATCGAAGAGAATTTTAGAAAATCTACGAGTGGAAGAAGGAAATGATTTACTCTCTATTCAGACGAGCGGACGAGGGTTTGCTTCAATCGATTCACCCAGGAGACTATGCCAGACTCGTCAGTGTGATGGGTTACCTTTTGCAAGTGAAGGAGAGGCAACCGACCACCGACGAGATGTTCCAACCTTTGGAGGAGACGATCGAGTTGCTAAAATTTTACGATCAAGATATCCCCGAAGAGGTGAACGTTCTGCTCCAAGAATTGCCCGAACAATGGGCCAATACGAAAAAATTGGCGCTTATGGTTAAACAACAAGTGGCTCCGTTGCAAGCGGGTATGGACATTCGCATGATTACTCAGTCTAGCGAGTAAGTTACATTTGACGTTTTAAGAAAGGGATGGTATCCAGGTGAGGTATCCAGGATACGAGGGCGAATCTCGGCATTCGACACAACGATAACTCACTACAGAGAGGCGTTTCGACGTTACAATTTCTTCAGATACGAGTGTCAAAATCCTTACGAATTAATGGACGAGAGTCACAAGGAGATTTTAATGTTGGAACGGCAAATGAAGGATATCCAAGACTCTGCTTCCCTGTTCGAGGTGATGGTGTCAGAGTTCAAAGTGTTGAAACAATGCAGGAAAGAGTTGAAGATGTTGAAACAGCTCTGGGATTACGTGAACATAGTCAGAAGCTGCATAGAAGGATGGAAGACCACACCTTGGAGGAAAATCGATGTGGAGAACATGGACATCGAGTGCAAGAAGTTCGCCAAGGAAATACGAGGTAATGGTGGTTGGAGGGATTTTTAACATTAAAAATTAAATCGGATTGAAATAATCAGCTCTGGACAAGGAAATGAGATCGTGGGACACTTTCGTTTCGTTGGAGGCAACTGTGAAGAATATGCTGACGTCCTTGAGAGCCGTGGCTGAGCTGCAGAACCCGGCCATAAGGGAAAGGCATTGGAGGCAATTGATGAACAGCACCAAGGTACCGGCAAGATTGAAAGAAAGAAAGAAGAATAGAATTTTACGCGATAAAACGATTTTGATAAACGATTTAATAACTTGATGAACCTTTTGTCCATTTTTTCCATAAAGATCGTTATATCTTTTTTTTTTT